AACTTTTTTTTTTTTTTCCCAGTCACGCCCTGTGTTTTATTTTAATTACTGCTAAGGGAGAGTGAAATTGATCAATAAGGAATTTTTTTTAATTAAAAAAGTAGCACGAAAAGCTCCCCTGTATATTCTTAAAGTAGAGAAATAGGCAGCAGAGCCTTCGCTTGCTTACACAAGGCTGCAAAGAATTCCCAGTTTATCGCTTTGTGCTCTTCCATGTTCTTCCATCCACAGCTGCATTTCACTGTTCTTGGTGGTGGTGATTATTAATTTGAACTTCATGAACCATTTACAGTTGGTGTCACTTTGCTACTGCTTTGTGCCTGCTCTAGATCATCTTCACTTTTTTTTTTCCCTTCTCTTTTTTAAGCCGTACTTAAGAAAGTCCTACAGTGAGTATCTACCGTTGAGTTGTTCAGGAACAGCTGTTGTTCACATGTGGAAGCACAACGGTTGCATTTCTGTTGTCCTGTCTGGCATCTAGCAACTGTCTGGCTGCCTGGTATACATGGCATTATTTTCCCAAGAGGTATACAACAAGCCCACAGGCCAAATAAAATTCTGGTCTCTGTTTCAGACGTAGCTTGTTAATTCAGCCTGGTTTTGCCAAAGCATGTGTGGCTTCTAAGCGGTCTTGTCTGGCTCGATGCCGGAAGCGCTGTACTCCTGCTGATGTGCGCTTCTGCTGAAATGGGCAGCAGACTGTTCCCTGTTACCTCCCATCAGATGTTTTAGGCCCAGCTGGTGAACAAAGGCAAGATTTTTAACAATGACTCCTGGACTATATTACTCAAGGTGAGTTTCCTAGAAAATGCCCATTTTTCTTTCAAGGGGCTACGATTTCAATCTACCCCTGTTCCTTTTCCAGGGGCTCCTGCTGGGCACTCAGACATCAGCCTCTTTGTGCCCATGATTAGCTGCCGCTTGTGTGATTTTTAGATGTGTCTGTGGTAGTTTCTACAACTTCAGTGCAAAAGACCGCACTCCTTACCCTTGCAAGGTACTTGCAAGGCCTCTGCGATGAGATGATGACACACCACTTACTGCCATTCCACAGACAATGAGGCGGTTGGCAGACCTCCGGTTCGGAGTGATTGCACCAGTGTTTTATTAGCTCTCAGAAAATATATAGCAGAGAAGAGGCGTAGTGCAGGCTCTCGCACAGGCTGCCTGTGCTCTGACCTCTCGGGCAGGAGGCCGCATTGCTTTTACAGCCAGTACTTAACCTTTCTGCTGAGACTTGTCAACAAGGAAACCAATTAGCAGCAGATATGATGGCGGATGATATAATGCACATGTCTGTTTGTTATGAACACAAGTGATATATTTGAACACAACGTATATTTTAAAACATAGCTCTGCATTAATGACGCCATTTCTCACAAAAAAATCAGTCTCTACAGTCGTGTTAAAGAATATCCTTATTGAGATTTTTCAAAGTCTCTGTCTTGAGCCCTGCTCCGCTGGACTCGTGGTGACTGTGACAAGTGCGGGATTCTAAGAACTAATTCCTCTACTTTTATTATTTGGCTTGAGTGGTCGTGGATGCCCCGTCCCTGGAGGTGTTCAAGGCCTGGTTGAGTGGGGCCCCGGGCAGCCCGGTCTAGAGTTAGGTATGGAGGTTGGCGGCCCTGCATGTGGCAGGGGGCTGGAGATTCGTGATCCTTGAGGTCCCTTCCAACCCTGGCCATTCTGTGATTCTGTGATGTAATTTTATATGGGTGGTATATGCAAAATATACAGAACAGCATATTGAAAGCAGGACAGTCATTGCCACCTGAAGTGGATCCAGAGCTGTTTTCTATGTACACACAAATGTATATTGGTTTACGTATCAGAAAAAGTTCAGGGAAACCTGATTTAAACGATGAAAATTGTGCAGGTTTACAATCCCATGACAGCCACCTCCTTTAAAGGACAGTGGCTTTGTGATGTATGTATGTGATATTGCCCCTGTGTGAGTACAGATAGAGTTCCTCTGTCAGAAATATGTTGGGTTGGGGGCTGTGCTTTTTAGCAGTTGGGTTGAGGTTTGGCCTGATCGAGGTTTGGCATGTTCAGTGGGACCTTCGCTTAACCAGAGCTTTCCTTTTTCATCTGCACTGTTGATAATATCTTCCCTCTTTTCCGTGCATCTTGTCTTGTAGGGATATCCTTTCCCTCCCCCACATCAAGCCTAAAATCTGTTCTAGGTGAAATTAGAGGAAGAAAAAACAAAAAGAAACGAGGAATATAGCCAACCTTTTTAATTAGAGTATATTGTACTTCCAAACTGGATACACTAGAAATTGGCAATGCAACGTAAGATGCAAAGGAATATACCAGTTACTGTCAAAATGACCCTGTACAGCCTTATAATGCAAAAAGCTTTTTACAATACAAACTTTTAATAATAATGTACACAGACCTTGACAGAATGATATTTGAACATAATACACCAAAAAAAAAAAAAACAGAAGAAAGAAAAAAGTGCTGAGAACTTTAACTGAAGTACTGAATGGAAAAACACACTAGCCTTCATTAAAGAATGCATAGGGATAAACTATTATGAAATTAGCTTTATGGTGGGGGGAATTTTTCAGAACTGTTGGTCTTTACTAGGTAGGGGATATCTCTGGAGAACATTCCTTTCTTTAGTCTTGAACTTCAAACCAATTATGTTAATACGATGAGCTCTGATAAATACGGTATTTTTTTTCCTTAAAAAAATAAAAACCTCCCAACACACTTTTCCTTACAGAGAAAACTTCTGTGACGTACCAGAAAGAATGAATTTATCCTTTCCAAAGTGCTGAAGAAAATTTCCAGGTACATTAGACATTACTTTGTCAGGTACTGGTACGATGGAGCGTTGTTGAACACGTGGCATTTGTGCGCTGACAGCGCATTCTTGGAACTTCCAGCCCCAATTATATTGCAGTTTGGCTTACAGAAAGCATCCTAGTAATATTTGTACCTCCTCCTAGACAGCTGTACTTTCCCTGTTGGTTTGAAAAAAAAAGCTTTTCGCTTTGGAAGTGTTTGCTTTACTATGGTGGGGTCAGAGATATAACGCATTGAGTGTATTTGAGAGAACTGGTATAGTTTCTGGGTGCAGACTGCATATTTCACACTGTTGAGACACTCGGTTTTTTATGCTTGCTGTATTTACTAACACACCGCTTTCTATTTTGTCTGTACTCCCAGGGGGGTTACCAGGAGTTTGGATGGCAAAGAGGGCCCTGAGTTGCGTTGTTACTAACGTTTTTATGTTTACTTTGGAACAGATGGCTTTTCTCTACTGCACAGACAGGCAGAACTGCCATATGCTCAGTAGAACAAAAATTTTCTGCTGGAATGTAAACAAAATGGTGAGACTTCTCTGCCCTTTAATTAATTATTCCAAATAATAACCTCCTCCTATTTCGGATGTTTCCCCTTTGTAAATAGCTTTGAGGATGTTAAACAGGAGTGCACAAATGAGAATGTCCTCCCTGAACAGGAAGACTTTGGTCATGCCTGTGGAGAGTGTTTGGCCATCTCAGTGCAAAACAAATGTAGGAATCTTCCACATAAATAAATAAAATGATGCAAGTTCTGCATTAAAAAAAAAAAAAAAAAAAAAAAAAAAAAAAAAAAGATACCCTATGTAAGCTTCATTTGAAAAATGAAGAAGATTGAGATTATGTTTCTACCTATGTGTGTGTGGCTCAGAGCCTTCGTGGACCAGAAATGCCTACCTGAACTGGGATACTGCCTTTGTGCTGTCCAAACTGGTCTGCTGAGATCCCTCCTTCCCACAGTACCCTGCAGAAGAAATTGCTTTGGAACAGCATGAGAGTGGGAAGTAAGTAGCACATCAGATGTGATTCAGCGCATCGCTTACGATGGCTTGGTCGAGAGAAAGAGAAGGACTGAAAAAAGCAAGGAGGTCAGACATGTCCAATACCTGATGGCGAAGGACAGCAAGATCTAATTCCAAGAGACACCGTGGAAAACAAAAATCCACTAAGAAAGTATTCCTGTAAGTCCTGTGAAATTTTGAAGTGTTTCGTATTTTATATTCCCAATTTACATGCAGAGGATTTTTTATCCTAATCTTTAAGTTGTTTAAGGAACAAATCAATTAATAGACAGTTACTCTTCTTTCAGATCACTGTTGGCATTTTGAGATTAAGAAAGGTTATACAACCGCTCTGCATTTGCTTCCTCCTGCAGTAAAGTGCCACATACAACGTCATTTTAATGACCACAAAGTAAGAGCGTTAAATAAGCACAAAGTTAGTTTCCTAGCAGTGTATGCTCTATCAGCCATTAACAGAAAGGAATAAAGCATTACTAACGATGTGGAGGGTATGATAGGACCTTGGAATCTGCAAGTACAATTGAAATAGTGAGGACATAAAAGAGAACTGTATCTGTCAAACAGTATCTTTTTTATAGCTTTGTATTTCAAAGTTACTGGTACCTTTTCAAATATACAGTCTTATTACTTTCATCCCGCAGAATTTTTTTGTTTTTGTTTTTTTTGCAACTGAGAAACAAACTAGTGCAAGACTAAAGCACTGTGCAAATCTGCCTTTTTTTTTTTTTTTTTTAGTCTGAGTATTTATACCCAGAATTTATCCATACCCTTTGTAAAATCCCCTTTGTTGGATTTTTTTCCACCATAGATTTCTAGTTATACAAGTTGTTCCTGCAAACTAAAAGGTAACCACTGCATAATACAGCATATATGTATCTATATATAATATTTATATGTCCTTTTAAAACAAAAGATGTATGTTATGGCCCAGACTCAGGTGTCTGTTACACCTGCGTAAGCTGAGAAGGGAGCCTGCTGTGTGAGTGCGTACGCTGCACGTGCACGTGTAGGAGTACACACGCACACATGCATTTGCACTGTTATACTCTCATCCTGCCGTGCTGAGAGCCACTTCTTCCTCATCAGCTCTACCCCAAATCCTCAAACCTTGACAACTCAATACAAGGCAGCAAACAACTAAACGATGCTGCTGGCAGCGCTGAAATGATGACACCGGTCAACCCCAGACCAAGAGTTACTCCCGCCCCAACTCTACAGTTTGGGGGGATACAGAGGAAGGGAGGGAACGAGCGTGTTCAAGGGAGAACGATAATAGGTAAGTAAACCAATATAAGGGATGTGCAAAAGCAGTGTCATGGCACGCTTACGGACTCTCTTTCACACACCCATACGCACACACACACACAAAAAAAACCCCAAAAATAAAAAGAAAGCATCAATATGAAATCTTACAAGCGCTGATTGCCAGTAAGGACACTCTTTTTCAGCTTAACAAGACAAAATAGTTTCTTAGATAAGAGTACTGGGAACATGCTGAAGGTAGAAGTATGCAGTAGGTCACCTCTCGAAGATTTAATAAAGCAGCTTTCATGTCAATGCAATAAGTATACACAGAGCCATTTTCTAAACCTTACTACTGATATAGTACAAATGTTCATTACCTCTTCGGTTTACGGTTTGCAGCAATGTATACCTGCTGGGTTTGTTGGGGTATTTTTGGTACAGAATGTAACTGCCCTCAGACAGTTTCTGCCCTTTCTGTTAGTCCAAGGTAGGCAAGGAAGGAGTGTTTAGGTGAAGAGGCACCTCCCGGTGCAGTCTGAGGTCTGGGCGGATGGAATGTGAGACTGTAGTGGTTTTTGGGGAAAAACATTGTTAGAGGAATAAGGTGGGCAAACTCCGAGTTCCAGTATTTATCAAAGCACAGGGAGGTGCCGTTGATGGCCAAGGCTTTCACTGCCAAGTTTGGTTCTGCCCCGCTGCTCTGCGCAGCTGACATAGCCACTGTCTGCAGAGCCTGGGAGGCAGACATAACTGAGAGGGGTGACAAGAGGTTTCTAGAGCTGTTCACCGGTAGGAGTGGACTGGCTTCCTTAGAGGTTGAATACTGGCCTTTCTTCTCCTCTTCAGAGCAGTCCCCATTCTGGTGCTTCTTCACGTGGCGGCTGAAAACAAAAGGGTGGGTAGTCTTGAACAGGCACTCGTCGCAGCTGAAAGTCTGGCGTGGAGCATGCTTCAGTTTCTTGTGCAAGTTGAGATTGTCTTTGCGTTTGCAGCTGTAGCTGCACTGGTCACAGTGAAAAGGGCGCTCGCCAGTGTGGACACGCACGTGTTCGATCAGCTTGTTGGCGGTCTTGGACAGGTAGCCACACTGGTCGCACTTGTAATGGTTGCCAAGGCGGTGTTCTCGGATGTGCATCTCCAGCTCCAGCTGATTTGCTTTCACTGTCTGGCAGATCCGACATTTGTACTCCATCTTGTAGTGAGTCTTCAGGTGGCACTCCATTGCTGCAGGGCGGTTAGTGGAGTAGATGCAGAATGGGCACCTGGCACAGAGAAAAGAGAAGTCACGTGGCTGGAAGTCTTGTGTTACTGGGACAAACCTCTCATTCAGCCCGTCTCTGCCCTACTAAAGCAGGAGAAAAGGCGCCTAGTCCTCCCTGTTTGGTTTCTGTATTACGTTTGGTTCATCTGTCTCTACTTAGAGTACGCTGGCCTATTTAACGGCAGTAGAACTCGCTCATTCCTAGGAAGGCACCAAAGGAGCGTCCCCTTAATCGTCTGGCTTACCTTTGCGGGGCAGGTTCTGCAAAGCAGGCCAGGTGCTGTGGGTGACTGATTCACAAGTACTTTGGGTAACGACATTCTTAGTGTTTGCACAAAGTCACTTTTGCCATTTTCTCCATTCAGAAGTGGTTTAAAGAGAGTGTTTACAGATGAGTATGAAAGCAGCTGTTTAAGTCAAGATGGAATAAACTTGTAATACTGTATGTACGGCTTAGGAAATTCCTTTTATGTGACTTTGTACAATAAGCTTGCTGGGTATCCGGCTAGAAACAGCTGAAAGTTGGCTTATTAAGATGATCTGTAGGGATTCCCATTGCTGGGAGATGAGCTAGTCTGTGCTCGGCTATGCTTGCCTACAGCCGCCTCTGCCGCGCAGCAGGAATTGTTCCAATGTGGGAACAGGATGTGGGCTCTGCTTACTCACAGCAGAAAGCTTCCGGACCAGGGTGGACGTGGTAAAGGGCCTCACCCCTGGCTCCTGGACCAGGAAGGGCTGAGAAGGCTGAAGGAGGGAGCCTTCAAAGCTGGGAAGGAAGGCTGAGCTGACCAAGCCTGGACACCATCAAGACTAAAACGCACCGGATCCTGCTTGGTGCGGCTTAGAGGAAGTTGGTGAAGACAGCTACCCGCCCAGAATATCTGCTGCGTTAAACAAAGCGTACTGGCTTCCAGATCTAGCTTGTGAGCTAGAAGAGCAAGTCTAGGTAAAAAGACACAACTACTGCGCCAAGCTGCCGTCTTACGGCTGTCTCCCTTGCCTGCTGATCTGCATTCACTCTTTAGCAGCTCTGCCAATTATGCACTGTCATTTAAGGTCATTTCTTAGCAGATATCCTCTCATTTGTTTTCACTCACTACAACTGATTGCGTTTCATCTTGCTAACGATGGAGAGATTTTGGAGTGAGTGCAGCAAATAATACAGGAGGACAAACAAACAGAAGTAAAATATCCGGACGCTTTTCCTGATGCAGCATCAAGTACTCTGATCCAGAGAGGGAACCTGGCACTGAGGCTGCTGAAAGTGGTTAGCTCTACTGCAACAGAGAACTCAGCTGTCTATGCGCACATACCTCTCCTGAGCTGGGTGCTCTCTGGATCAGAATCTCAGATTTTGATCTGGAACTGGAAGAATCATGTTTTTTTTTTTTTCTCTTCCCCCACAGCAAACAGGAGACAGAAAAATACAATTTACTTAGATCTCTTCAGGCTCTTCTGGATGCCTTAAAAAAAAAAAAAATCAGAGCTTTTTCTTAGATGCAGCTTTGAAGGTACCTGATTATTACTGGAGTCGGGCAGGAATAACTTATGTAGACTGAGAAGCCCATTCTGTCAGGAAGGTCTGAGTCATAGGTCATGATTTTTCCTCAGTAAATAGAATAGATTCTGTGCAGCTTAAACCCAGAGCGCGTGAGATCACTGGCCTGTGCGTCCCAGACAGACATCCCATCGTTCTGGCACGCTACTTGTTTCCTAGCCCGGTCTTATTCCCAGATTCAGTCATCATATCTCAGTTGATCACAGATTCAAATTTGGGAAACTACAGAGCTGTATAACAAGACACTGCCTGGCAAACAGAACCAGTTTTCACAAACCTCAGTGCAAACTGATAGAGCTACTCATGGTAACGTTAAACGTGGCACGCTAGTTACCTGACAGTTACAGTGCATTGAAAACATTAGTTTGCTTAGCAAGAACAGTGCGAGCAGGGAGGCCTGTGCCGGGCTGGAAGTGGCTCCAGCCTCTCTTCCTGCAGCAGCTGGAACAAATGGAGAACAGGGGCATACATCTTGCATAACAACACGTCGCCTGCACACAAGGAGCAAGCGTATGGCCCCAACTATCACCCCTCCCCTCAGGGGTCCAACTTTGACATAAGGGCACAGTCGCTCACTAGAAACATTGCTCCGTACGAACAGATCTTAAAGGACAGCACCTTAGCCAAAGACAGGGTTTTTTTCTTAAAAGAGCGTACTGCTTGTTACACGTTAATTTACAGTGATTATTCCAAACATGCAAAGAAAGGCAGAAAAGGATCAAATAGTTAGTTGCTGAGAAAGGCTGACTTTGCATTAGAATCTACAAGGATTACAAAGCAACTGAGAGGTCTGATTTTGAGAAGCTGACTCCATGCTTAGTGGCACAGATTGGACAGGATTTAGATTCTTTGAGCTAGGTGCAGAACAGAGAATGCGGTGCATGCTCTCCTTTCCTCTAATGCCTTCAAAATGCCTCTTAATTGGACACTGCCTCCGTGCCGTGCTGCCTCATTCTCTTAGGACCCATCATGGACTTTCTCCTCTTTGACTTGAAATGGGAAAGGACATACTTTGTTAAGATCTATCACTGGGGAAAACTACATATACTACTATTTGCTATAATGGTGCAAACCCACGTTAAGGCAACTCTAATGGACTGGGCTTTTATTCTCTAGACAACAGAAGCCCCAAATCTGGATTCTCAGACACTTTACTAGTCTTTTCTGGTTTACTTCCTTCTGTCCTGGTCCCCACAATATTAGAGGTGCTGAACACAGTAAAAGTTGGTGTACTTGCTTTCCTTACTTGAGCCCACCAGTGGGGACAGTGTGGCATTTCTTGTGCTCCAATAATTGCTCGGGTGTCTTCATGAACTTGTGGCACACATCACACTCAAACATCCGTGTGATCAGGTGGATTTGCAGATGGCGCTCAAACATATTTTTTGTTTTGCAGACAAAGTTACAGAAAACGCATTCAAAGCCTGAAAAATGAAGAAAAGGAAAAAGCATTCCTGATACTGTGGCCGGATCTACTGCATACGAGGTGACAATTTGTATTTGTTTTATGGTTGGTTTTTTTTTTTTTTTTTTTTACCTTTCTCTGACTTCTCTTCAGTATTCAGTGAGGTCTGAGTACCAGGCACTACAGAAATGACCAGCAGGTTGTTTGAACCCTTGTTTTTTGGAGATACATCTGCATCTTCTTTGCTGTTAGCAGAGTCACTGAGTGCTGACAGTGAAGATGAAGATGGACTGTTAGATTCACTGGGTGTCTTCCTCTCCTCAGCTGAAAAATTGGAATTAGGAGCAATAGCTAGTACAGCAGACTGTAATCCTGTTTTACATTTCAGGATGAGTGTCATTTGAAGTTAATTCAAACATACTTATAAACAAGTCTGAAATCAACTGGTCAGTTAGGGAAGCATCATGATTTCATATCCCTCCTTTTTTAAGTGTTTATACTAGCATATCCTAGAAGGTATTCTGTCTGTAATGGCAATGAAAGGAAGCATGCAATTCTATCACATTATTAAGCAAAAAAAAAAAAAAAAAAATCCCAAGCGCACACTTTGATTGGCTCAGACGATCAAGAACTTGTCACTGAGAAAAAAAGCCACGTTTTCTCAAATGGAGGTTGGGGTGCTGTTGATGGCATCGTTTACTAGTGTTCCAAATTAAGCTTCCATCACCTTTCTGCTTTTGTCTGTCTATTGGGTAGCTCTGAGAGGAAGGGTAGAGAAGAATAAAGACTGTAAGAAATAACAGCCTGGTCTCAAGATGTATCTGCTGTTGCTAGGAACTCTCATTGAAAATTAAATGAAAAAAACAATAAAACAAAACATATTTAACTGGATCTAAAGCTGTAGCACTCCAGCGTTGCCTTATGTGTGCAATAAATGTGTGAAGTTGGAATCCCAAATAGTATCGCACGCTAGAAATGAGCAAGAGTGAGAGTTTTCATATAAGCCTAATGTGGTACATTCCACTCTGAGCCAAAGAATCAGAATGGACAAATTATTTCCTCCCCTTTATGTCACGCTTTATTCAGAGCTGTGTTAAAAACAGACTTAACTAAAATGTCATATTATCTATGTGATAAAGTAAGTCCTCCGATTGAGGCCTCTGCATACAGCAATATGTATCCAGCTAAAAGCTCACAAGTGGCACCTTTAAGTCTAGATAAAAATGTTGGAACGCGCTAATGAAATCTGATGACCCATGCTGTCAATAGGAAGGATGACTGGGATATCATACAGAAAGACTCACTGACCTTGGGGGCTAGAGTAATAAAAATGGAATGAAATTTTATAGTACACACTACAAGGTTATGACCTGGAAGAATTTTTGCTACAAATGAGGAGAGCTTAAGTTGGAAACAGTCAAGGAAAACAAAATAAAGGAACAAGTTGAGCAGAACACAGGATGAATACGAGCTATCAGCAAGCTAAAGTCTCCAAGGAAGGTAAATATGATCACAGAATATTACTGCGCGAGTTATTCCCAGCAGCTGCTGCTGTTTTACTCTGCCACCGCTACTTATTCCAACTAAATATGCCACGTGCAGCCATTGTTGTGTATGCCAAGAATGGGGATCTCACAAGAACACACACAGTGTACGATCGGTACTTTCAGAAGAGTGTGTCATGTAAGAAAAGGCCCAATGAATATTTAGATGGGAGAGGGTTGTTCTCCAGAAATACAGGAAGAGAATAAATACCGTGGGGAGGGGAGAAAAAGATGGAGGGAGGTGAGCTGATGTGTCAGACTGAGGGAACTTCTGGCAGAAAAGAACACGGGTGAGTTCTGGTTATTACTAAGACACATGCTGGCAATTTTAAAAAGGCACCTCAACTTGAATACCAGAAAATCTGCATGCTATCTGTCTGTGGGCACAGCGGGTCCAAAACAATTCTACTTGCCTGAAGACATATGCCAAGAGCCTTACAAACAGGCCTTTTATGAGTAAGTAACCTTACAGCGTAGGGACTGGAGGCGAGTGAACCAGAAAACCCATCCTGTCTTTTTCCCCCAATACGTGCCATATGTGTAAGCATTTGGCGGGATCTCCTGCTGAATGGCTCAATTTGACAGAGTGAATGAAGAACAGATAATTAAAAGACAAGCGATAATTAAAAGACAAGCTTTAAAAGACAAGAAGCACCTCCAGTATTTTAGCCACAACAAGTACAGCTCTTGTTCTGAGCTCTGATGCCATTTTTTCACATGGCTATAGGTGGCATTTCTCCATCTACAAGTGGAGATGGATGAAAAAATTGGGTAAAGACAGTGCGTGTGCAGGGAGATGGGAGTAGAGCTGCAGTGCTGAAAGCTGGCACAAAGATTTGTGAGGCATTCCAATAATTCAACGTGCATTATAAGCACCAACATTCTCCTCTCCTTTATCTCTTTCCACCCTTCCTATCTTCCCACTTTTACCTTCGACATAAAGAGCAATTTAATGATGGGAAAATGGCGCTGGATGCAGTTCAGCTTCAGGACTGTCAACGCAATTATTAGTAGTTTGTGACAACAAAATTCTTCTGCTTGGTGTTATAAATGAAATCAACTGAAAGCATTCTAATTTTCTCCTCCTTAAATTATGCCAGGCTTCACTAGTTGGACTAAGCATATGGAGCTTGTTTGAAAACTCCTATTGCTCTTATCTTTGGCTATTAAGTGACTAAGAACAGGACCAGGGAGAAGACACAGGATTTGCTCTGATACTGAATATAAAGTGACATTTAAAGTATTTCTGAGTCACAACATTAAAGAAACATCAACAAAAACTCTGAACACACCAAGAGCAAAGCTCAGTATATTATGTGTTATAACCTTAAAGCCAGATGCACACAGCTAGTGCTCAAAGTTGCCTTATCAGCACTGAGATCAAATCAGGATTTTGATGAAACAATAAATGAGTCAAAAAAACAAACAATCTATGTTACCTTCAGCAAGGGAGGAGATTTGAGGGACATGGCCAAGTAGCCCTTCATTTGTCCCCTACACTTGAAAACTGATCTGTACTAGCGGACTATTTGCCTGGCTTCACTTCAGCTTTAAGAGATCAGACCTTAATTAGCAAGCATTTCAGTGAAAGTAAAGAGAGCGCTTATCAGGAGTGTGAAGGTTGCACCTAAAAAGCAGGGAAGAGAGAGATCACAGCAGCTGGGAGGTGGGGATCGTCACCTGTGTGCTTGCTGTTGACATGAGCCTTCATATCTGCCTCTTCCATGGTGACAAAATCGCATGCTGTGCAGCAAATCGAGAACATCCACTGCTCCTTATCCACATGAAGGGACATATGACTGACAAACTGGACGTTCATCTCCGTCTCAAACCCACACACATGACAGCTGCAAGCAGAAGGGAATTCAAGAGTAAGAAGCATTAAAAAAATAAAGTACAAATAGAAGAATATTATCCTTCCCTTCATTTTGAAAAAACAAACCAAAAAACCCACCCTCACTGCACAGTTCTCTTCCTCACTGTTGAATGTTCATTGGAAAATTCTCTGTCTGCTGAACTGCTTCTGAACTGATGGCCGTGCCAATGTGATTAAGGGCAGGCACAACGCAACAATCCTGTACATGCTATAATGATGCTAGATAATCATAAAGTTAATTAAAAACTACAGATTCCAGATGCTGCACATCACCTAGCTGATTCCTTTGGGCAATAAGAGGCACCGCAGCTTTGCCAAGACGTTTAGTATGGCTGATACACTGACAAACAGAAAGCGTGCTGCACGCTCTAGGAGTTATTTTCAAGCCCTGGAATGGTTCCCATGCCAAACCGGGATCCTGTGAAAAACTGCCTGGCAGTTTCAGCGTAAGCAAGTAAAAATGGGTTCAAACATTTCTTACGCTTGACTGGAAAACAGCAGTCCTCAGCTATGCAAATAATTAACATGGAGACAGATTTCACAGCCAATACATATGCAGAGTGATATTGAGAAGCAATGGAATGGACCCTTTAACCTTCTGTGCAGTCCTCCTCTTGTTTTTCGCGGCCATCACAATTTAAAGCAAGAAGCACTCTGAGAATGATTTTGTACTCTGCTTGGCCACTAGGGCGCATAGCACAATTTGCAGAACACACGGCACTGCATACAAAAAGGAGAATGCCCAAATTGCCATTTCGTCTGGGCAGTTCCTTTCAATTTTTCTGGCTCGTTCTCCTAAAAGTCTTTTTTCACAATATTGGTCACAATGTATATACCTCTAGCAAATGGGAAAATGTGTATGTTTTATTTTAATACGTTACTCTTTGATTTCATAGATTTGGTTGAAAACAACAGAGTTAACAGTGCTTTAGATTTGCCATGAATCTACATAAACAGTGGGAAGTTCCTCAGTGCAAAACTTAAATCAAAAATTAGAGAGGCTTCCAGGAGTCCATTTGACTCACAGAACCATTAAAAAAACCCATCCAGAACAAAACCACACATGCTGAAGAACTCTGTCCTTCCCAATGACCATCCAAGTCAAACAGCACGAGGCAGCCAGCTAGTTCTGCTGCTTAGCACAAAGTCAGATAGACATGGGCAAGTCAAATACATTCAGCGCAGTTTCACCGTGGAACACCAGAAGAGGTCCTGTAACAGCCTATGCAGGCAGCTAAGACAAATTCCAGTGTCTGGTGCACTAGGTCTCTTGCCTAGGTCCTCACCTGTAATAGTAAGGGTGCTTCTTTCCATCACTGCCTTCAGAAGTGACAGCGCTGACAATGTCCTCAGTGTCTGTACTCACCAGCTTCACAGAATGGACGGTCAGGTGCTGGTTCAGATTAGCACGGCACTTAGCAGCGTAGGGGCACAAGTGGCATTTGTATTTTCTCTCTTCTGAGAAAGAAACAGAAAACCGTCCATTTAAACTTCATTTCGAAGCAAACTGTTGTTACAGCTTCCAATAACCAAGTATGCATTCCTTTGAGTTTCTCTGAACAATTTCCTGAATAAGGTACTTTGGAAACTAGACGTTTTGGAAAAGTATAGAAGTTCACAGCAATTACTCAGGAAAAAAAAAACAACAACTTCATTTGGAAGTAGTTTAGGGCTATATTTTTAGCACGGCCTACCATTTGTAGTCAGATATAAAACTTTATAAACTGCAAAAGTGGGGTAATTGCTGCTCTGAGAGCTGCGGCAAAGCCAGTACAGAAACAGGTCCATAACCTGCAACTATTTCCTTTAGCCAACATCTTTTATTTCAATTTTGGGTCCGCTTATTCTTGAGGTTGCCCATACGATCACTTGCAGGGTTGATGGTATTGTATTAAGATCTGAGGGTGGGCAGGGATGAAAGGGAATGCTGCAGCATAAGGCCAGTTCTGAACGCAAGCTCACAAAAAGAACAAAAACAAAAAACACTCAAAGAACAATTAAAAGAAATTAAACATGAGCTTCAGTGCTTCACAGCCTTTAAAATAAAAACAATTTCATTTCAAATTTAACAATCCTAAGTCCTGGCAGCAATTTCTTTGTGCATGCCAGGCTTCCTATTGTGAAGAGCTGATTAATAAAACAACCAAATATTACATCAGCTTTTACAACCCTCTCCGTTCAAGTGCTGCTGCTCTAAATTTGAAACATAATACAACAAGTGCTAGGGGGAAGAACTTCAATAGAGCAGCTCTGGATTAAGAAAAGTCCACAATGCCAAGGAACGAGAGCATCTGAACCTTTCCAGCGTGGCTGTACTAAGTGACACATACTGGCATTATACCAACAATATTTTTCAGTACTGTATTAGAAATTCTTGCTTTCAAGTCTTATTTTGTGCAGTGCATCTCAGCAGGCCGACAAAGTGCATCTTCCATGTAAAAACCGCTCATCTCAGTTGATTTCAATCATTGGCTTTTAGGGAGGTGGTACGAACTTGAATAGTTGCTCTTAAAAACAGTAAATAATAAGAGCAAAGGTGAACGATGGTATTCAATCCTGCCAGTTTCACCATATCTGAAACATCAAAGCCAAATCTTTTGTTGTTTGATAACATTTGAGAAGCTCATCATGCAAATGTAAGAAAGGCCGGACAAAGGCTGTGTCTTTCCTTCAGAATGGCGCTAGCAGATTTGGTTAAACAGCTGATATCTACAGGTTGATCTGCAGGAACTTGGACCAACTTGAACTTGCACGTTTTGTAAAGATTAATTACAAGCTGGCTGTAAAGAAGTGTTAGCTAAGTCCCCAAGCACCTCTGCTGTGGCTATTTCTGGCCTGTTTCTGGTGTTGCCTTTGCTCTAGCAAAAAGCTGAGCATAGCCCGTTCTACAGACACTCATCTGCTTATCTTCCCCCCATCCATCTTAAATAAGCTACGACGAACACAAGGATTTCCTCAGCACTAAAGAATAACATCAAAGCATCAGCTTTTACCTGTGTGCAGCGAGAGATGTCGGGACAAGGTCTGCTGTCGACCAAACACTTTTCCACACACTTCACAGGGAAAGAGCTGGTCATTAAATTTCCACGATGGCAATCCGTTTCCTGCCTCCAACCCTAGCTTTTCTGTTTCTGTGCCAAAATACATACAAACAGAAAGCTGTATTTTAACAACTCGGAAGACTCAGATTTCACTCAGCATACTCCTGTAGGTACGATATAAAACACAGCACCTTGGCTGCATGCTCATCTGACACGAGTTCACGAAGAAAGGAAACTTTCCTAATGATGGAAAGGAAATAAATCTTTCATACCTAATCTTCCATATATACTGTAAAACACAGCACTTACCAGCTAGACACAGTCAGAGTTCAACCAGATTACGTACAGAGAGAAACTCAAAAACGAGCAGGGCAAAGCTTTAAACTCCAATTTTGTTTTTGTGCAGAAACTATGCTTTGGCTTGTTCACTCACCCACTTTCACCCAGCGCATGAAGACCCAGTCTGAGACGGTAGTTAATTTTACACTGAGTTATTATTCACACTGAAAGAAGACCTCCAAACTTTGTATTTGCTACGGATGTAGAAACTACTGCTGTATGAGCAGTCTTCCACTGAAGGAGAGCAGAACATTGAAGAAGAGCACTGAAGAAGACCTCAGACTGAAGTTAAGTGAGGAGGGCACAGCATGCCAGTGAGTGGGTGGCACCTGGGGTAAGCTCTAATCAGTAACTTCTGTCCTCAGGCATCAAAATCCACAGCAGCCCAGAGGGCTGCCCATTGAAAAACTAAGACCTTTTGAGAAATGTTATCTTTAGAGAAGTGTTACCAGTTGTTCCAAGAACAGAGAGTCTGCTGTAGAAAATAGATACTCCACACAGCATAGAACAGTCATGAAGACACCCTGTGAGGATGCAGAGAGGAAAAGACTGGGGACGAAGACAAACAAAAATCATACACTGTTTGAAGAAGGTGGTAAAAGCATCTGGACAGAAGGGAGAAGAAGCCAGTGTAGATGGAAGATAACAGTGATACTACTCAGACTTGTATGAGAAAGAATGTTAGCAAATCTTGTGTAAAGAAATATTTTCTGCCAGTGTCCTGTTGTGCCTGAAGGAAGGGACCGCTGCAGCTAAGTGTCACAAAACTCAAGGGCTTTCAGCAGCTTCCTCAAAACAGCAGCGAAAGTAGGACAGAAAGGAGTGGGAAAGTTGGCTTAGAACTTACCGAAAGTAGAAGACCTCCTATTTCCACTAGAATGGAAGGTGAAACGCACAGAGCACCCTTCTCTAATCCCCCATCACCACTGCCCAAAAGTACCTTCCCTGGTGTATGTGATAGAAGAAAAGCATTTGGCTGGTGTGTTCAGGTAAACAACAGGAGAGGATCTGAGGACAGGAGTGCAAAAACATCTTAGTGAGCTAAAGTTCTATCCTAGAGTCAGGCACAAGGCAGCTGAATCTTCCTCTAGGGAAACACAAAGGAATAAGCACCCGACTTGCACAGGCAGCATCACCTACCGCTGCAAATCTGGCAGGCATGTCTAGAAGAGTCCTGCTGACAAACAGGCACCCAGCTGGCTCTAGTGTGATTTAGGTAAACAGTTGTCAAATACTGCAATTAATTTAAACAGCAGTAAAAACAACGCCTCACGTAGGGCAGAGATTCCACAAAGCATTTTCAACAAGTTTAGGGACAGTTGTACCTTGCAGCCCCTTTCAGCTCCTGCATACAGCATTCAAGGGAGGAATTATGAGGTCACATCTGGGCACTGCCGTCCAACAACACATTTTTTCTTACAGAATTTCTAGTTGGGAAACAAGTTCCTACTCTTCAAAATAGTCATTTTCGTGAAATTAAAAAAAAAAACAAAACAACAAAAAACCTCCCAAAAGGGATGGTGACCCTTAACTTCCAAAATCTTCAATAAAGAGTAATTCTTTTTGTTACCGTCCTTGAGTTCAAAACAGTGGAAAAATCTGACTCTGTACTAATGTTACAGTTATTTTAGCAGAGCTTCTTGAGTACACAATCAAAACAGCGCTTCAAAAGAGGAATATGGTAATAATTACAATAGAAGGTCACAAGGGTGCGCGTTGCTTCAATATGCTCACAACAAAAACGAATTAATTGGGACACATACCAAACAAGTCGGCACAATTAGACGTAAATATGTCTCTTAACAATTCATTTCAGCATTAGTCATCAGCCTTCTTTTATCTCTCAAGAAAGAGAAATATCCTCTTCCCTATTGCGGATTTACAGCTATCAGTTCGGGGACGCTCATAGGAAGTTGGAAAAACACCAGCTTTCTGGTTGTCTCAGGCTGGGGAGAGCTAGTCCCTTGCAAAGGTGCTACATCCTTTTCACTGACATCAAAGAAGGTACTGCAGGTGTTTTGAAAGTGTTTATGTTTACTTTACAGTCCTAGCTGCACTACTTATTTCTTTTTCTACTGAATCTTCTCTCTATAGCCAAGCGTTTTTTCTATTCATCAGGTTTCTTTGCTTGCTCACAGGAAAACAGAGGTGGTCTCCGGTACCGCAGGAGCCTCAGCATTTCATGGGAAGCCTTCTCCTTCAGCCTCCTGAAAGCTCTGTCTGCAGCTGAGAAACTGAAGCTCTGCCTCCATACAGTAGCCCAGGAATCATCCCCAGAGCCTACCCAGTAACTGACCTTCACAGTGACCTGAGGAATCGGGTGAGTCAGCATCCACAGTCAACCGTTGGGCTCTGCCTCTAATTAAGGCTGGTAACGGTCCAGTGACTCCGAGACCGTACCACCATATTATGCACACTGTTCTCTGTGTATCCCAGTGTGCTTCAGCAAGCCACTCTGCAACATTATCTTTAAAGAATACCTCACACAGAGGGTCATTCAGTGGCCAGGAGGAAGATGGACCGAGACCAACTAATGTTAAATAATAAATCACCATTGTAAGACATATCCCACAGAACCCCAACTTCCACTAAGACATCCCTGTAAAACAAAAAAAAACAAAAAAAACCCCAAAAAACAAAAACACCAAAAAACCACAAAAACTTGATGTAAGATTTCTGCTTTAAACAGACATTCGGCAAATTCCAAAGCTCTTACGTTAAAAAACAAATATGACTGAATAATACTGAAATGATTAAATAAGTAATAAGCTACATAGGTTTTGGAGTTTAGAACAAAATATGCGTAGTAAAATGAAAAGCCTCTAAGCTCTCCACTACACCATTAAAAAGTAATAGAAACTTATTACTTATAAGTAATAGAAAGTATATTAACAGTCAGTAATGAAATTACTTTGAAATAGTTTTAGTTTTGCATAAATGATTAAAGAACTTTTTTTTCCTTTTCTAAATGTAAAAGTTAATTCTCAGTGAAATGTAGTGAAATACGTTTTTATGGCCATTTTACATCACTTAGTATCACTTCCCAGCCATCCCCAATTCAACCCCGTAACAAGCAAGCGCATTAAGGCTCCTCACATTCGTTCAAGGCAGGGTTAGAAAGGGCTGGGACTGTCCCCTTTAGAAATGCCTTAGCCTGGCTTTTGTCAAATGCTGAGAAAAGGTACCCCATCTGTTTGAAGCTGTTTGTGAAGATGAGTACAAAGCGTGACCTGAATACATAAACTGCAGAGAGTCAATCAGCTCTGTGAGTGCTACAAGTTCTCACATATAGAAAAACTTCACAATAAAGGGGAAATATCTCTGAAAGACTTTGGAACTTTAGCAGTCAGCTGATAACTTCTGGTACTGCCAGCCTGAAGTGGATTGCAGCTAGCCTGTCCTCTGTCATCCTTCAAGCACCTTGCTTTTACCCAAGAGGAACATAGACTGTATGCAGCTGTGTATGAACGTCACAAGAACCCATTTTCAGGATTATTTCTATTTTGTTGCATCTAAAATAAGTTCAAGAAATTAGTTATTCAGAAACAAGGCATTCAGGTCGAGCAATCATGCAAACACTGTTTTTGAGAACTTCTTTTGGCTAAAGATTCTTCTCTCTGCATTTATCTATGTTACTACAACGTCTTCCTGTGCTCTGTGCTCTGCATCATAAAAGATGCACTTTATTGCATGGGAGCCTTCCACTTTCGTGTTCATCCATCACCTTTTGCAAGCATGCAGTATATTTAAAAATTGAGCTCTCCTTTCTTGGAACACGTAATTGAGTCTTTGCTGTAAGCCTGTTTGCTGAAAGCCTGAGAAGGGCTTGTGAGCTCAAAAATACACTGACTATATGAAACTGCAGCACTCCTTTATAAAAAAAAAAAAATCAAGAAAAAGGTCACTGAGGTGATAAAGACGTTGGCTTTTGTGAAAAGTGTAAAAACAAAAGATGAACTTTAAAGATGCTTCTGCAGAGAGACATGGGAAAAAAGCGAAGCCCACTTTGCTGCTAATACTGAGTGCATTTCACCAAACGGACATCACAGGCATGGTGAGAAGAACGAAGCCTGAGTCAAGGCAAAGATAAGGTAGTCGATTCAGTGACCTGGAAGACAAATCTGCTTCCCTTCTTTGTTTCAGGATTGACAGCTATTTAACTTCACTTACACAAACAGAGGACTTGTGACTAAGCAATGGGGTTTGTGATAACCTTCATCTGCATTATAAAGCTTTCAGATCGGCTTTTACTGTCTGCTTTAAACTCAAACTTAACAACAAACAAGAAAACAAAAATCTTCTACTTCTAAACTTAAATCAGTTTATGTTTGTAAATTCTGTGGCAGGTGGCTGAAGCTGCAATAGTTCTGCAGTCATTATTTTTATAACAACGTGCACTACAACACCACATTGAGGATCGCACTGCACAGCACTATCTATGACCCACTGCCTCGCAATAGGATAAAACAAACAGTGTTGTCTTGCTGGCAATCTCATTTCATACACAATAAGGTAATCCAAAATTCCTGTTGCATACAAAGAATGGCCTTGAGCTGTAACATCACTGACCAGAAAGCAGTGGAAGAGTCCCTCCAACTCCTTGCACGGCCTCCAGTTGTCTTTTCTCTATCATTCACAGCTAATACAGTGGAAAAAGTCAGGTTGGTTTCACGACCATAAAGGAAATAATACAGATGATCTGTTTTTAAGACTGATTTAAGACACTGCAAGAAATGATGTGAAGTACCAACAAATCCCCCCCAAACAGGTTTCTGAAAGTTTATCCAGTCACTGTTAGCCAAGAGAGCAGTCAATCCCTTCAGTAGCAAAAGCTCCATCATAATAATTTCTGCTTGTTTAGAAATCATAGCTGTAAACAAAAAATAAATTCTGTATCTGTTGTTAGATAAAAACTTGCTAATGTGCCCTCTGCTGTCTTTGCATGCCATACCTTATTTCAGTACGATACCACCCTGCAACAATCTCTGTGATAGCTGGATAAGCCACCGTGGTGAATTTGCACAAGCTCCCATCCAGCTCCCTCCCAAGCAGGTGCCTCTTACATTTTGCTCACCCCGCTTCCGCTGTTTGTAATTTTGTTTTGGTTGCTAAAACAGTGAATCCAAATGAACTTATGAAAGTACTGCTTGCTTCTATTGTTGAAGAATACAATTAATTAATTTTTGTAATGCCAATGGGTTTCTTCCTTTTGAGTTTCTTTCCTACAGTTGTTTAAAACACGCCTCCTAAGAAACCCTTTTTAAAATTACTCAGATACTGTCATGTACGTTTAGGACCATTATGGTATCTGTATAAACCTTCTTTTTTTTCTTCTCTTTTTTATTTTGGTCACTATGCCAATTTCTGTTTGCAGTGGGGGTATTTCTCCCATAGAGAGCAAGTAATAACACAGATCATTTAGCAGAGCCTAACACTAGTACTCTCTAGCCAGAATTTAGACAGAAATAAAGTCAAATAAGCCTTCGGATTACATTTTTCTCCCTGGCTCCTTGACTCTTTTCTAGAGGACTGAAAGGTGCCTCACTAAGGAAACTCTGAGCTGGTAACCAGAAGCATCAGTGGAGGAATGCAAAATACAGTCCCAAGCACAGACTGAGTATCTCTGACCAGACAGAATTAAGATTCAAAACTAGATGGAAGTCACTGCAAACATTCTGCAAAAGCCACCTTGCTTCATTTTGCAAGCTGCCAGGGGACAAGTGCCACCCCCTATAGACCGTGGTTGCTGCTGTAAAAGAAAATGTTTCCACCGCTATTACTGCAGATTCTCTGAGTGATAAGCAGTGAATCTGCCACTTCCTTGAAGCCCTTAACTTGCTCCTGCACACTTCTCCTGTTATAATTCCTATCATAAACACATCTAACTGCAGACCCATCTTTAATTCCTTTTGTGTCTGCATGGTTGCATGTCAGGTATGGGATGCACTGGGGCAGTTGGTGAGATGACTGCACCTACTGGACTCGACTAAAATATCCAGAGATGGGGAGGGAAAATCCAGGAAAATTGTATTACACAGTCATAGAACGGCTTGGGTTGGAAGGGACCTCAAGGAACATCAAGCTCCAACTCCCCTGTCACAGGCAGGGCTGCCAACCTCCACACTTAATACCAGACCAGGCTGCCCAGGGCTTCATCCAACCTGCCTTTGAACACCTCCAGGGACGGGGCATCCACAACCTCTCCGAGCAGCCTGCTCCAGAACCTCCCCTTGACATCCAACCTAAATCTCCCCTCCTTCAGCTTAAAGCCATTTCCCCTTGTCCTGCCGTTATCTACCCTTGTGAAGAGTGGACTCCCCTCCTGTTTGTAGGCTCCCTTTAGGTACTGGAAGGTCACCCCGCAGCCTTCTTTTCTCCAGGCTGAACAATCCCAGCTCCCTCAACCTGTCTTCACAGGGGAGGTGCTCCAGCCCCCTGATCATCTTTGTGGCTCTCCTCTGGACCCTCTCCAACAGCCCTCTGTCTTTCTTGTTCTGGGGGCCCCAGACCTGGATGCAGTACTCCAGATGGGGCCTCATAAGAGCAGAGTAGGGAGAAACTAAAATCATTCTGTAGAAGAAAAAATTCTGTCTTCTGCTTTGTTTAAATTCATTTTCCTTTTGTTTTGCTTTTTTCTCCAATCTATCCCAATACCTGATTGATTGATTTTCCATTTAATTTACTCTTAGACAAGTATTGTAGAAGACAACCTTGCACAAGATAAGATGGGTGAAGATGGAGAGTACTAAGGTAATTCTGAAAGAAATGTCATGGAATGATGTGTTCCAATTCCTTTCCCAGAGCTGAAGAAGTCATTTTAAAACCTGTCTTTCTATTTCACGTGAAGTTTGTACTAAGAAAAGATTCATATTCAATCTGGCTCAATGCTGATGCTCGCTTTTACAAAATCTTCCGATATTAAGATAGACAAAAGAGAATATGAGACTTCATACGACTTTGAAAAACAAACAGTCTATAAAACACAGCATGCTGAGTATTAGCCAAAAGTCTGATCTATCAGTTCTGAGGTTATTTAATCAGCTTCACAGCTTTGCTACTGAATTTATATCACAGAATTACAGCTGGAAGGGACTTCAGGAAGCCATTTGTTCTTTCCCTCACTGAAAGGCACACCCGCCACACACCACATGTACCTATCACTTCTGACAAGTGTTTGTCCAACACTTTTTTAAAAAGCTCTCCAACGGTACAGAGGTTCCACAGTCTCCTGTGACTGTTGCTGCAGTGCAAAGTCACCACACTGGCCAGGAAGTTTTACTTTGCTGTTTAACTTATATCTCCTCAGTTGTTATTTAAACCCTTTTTTATTTACTTAGTTGTTATTTAAACCCGTTATTCTGCACCTTACGTGAACGTAGGCAACACTTATTCCTTTCTTCTGAAAGCTTTATATATTTGAATACCATTACCTTGTACCTCCTCTTTTGTTCTCCAGAATAAACAGACACAAATCCTTCAGTCTTTACACACAGCTCATGGTTTCCCGTCCCCTGAGCACTGCTGTGCTGCACATTGTTCCTGGGTTACAGAGCACAAAATTGGATTCAGGACTCCAGCTGCAGAGCAAGAAGTACCACATGTGCCTTACAGACAGCATTTCCCACATCTCAGAGGGATACTGCCCTTTCTGCAACGTGTACACTGTCAGCTCCACATATGGTGTTTGACCAAGACTAATTCAGATCTCTCCCTTAAGCTGCACTGCCTGGCCATTCATCTCTCCCCACATTTTGTGGCACTCATCATTCATCCAAGCACAGAATTTTTCCTCGCTGAATTGACCGCTGTTTTCCAGACCACTCCTTCATTTCCTTGAGGGAAGGCAGGACTCCAATTCCATCCTTTGCAGCACTTACTTACCTCCTAGCACGGTGTCACCTGGACATTTAATAAACACAATTCCATCACCCACAACATGAATGAAAGAGTTAAGTAACATGAGAGCAAGAGCAGACCCTTGGAGAATACCACTTGGTTCCCAGGGTTTCACAGCTACGCTAGTTACAGCTTCTCTCGCTCCAGGTCTCCCTGCTAGCTCTGTGCACGCTGCAGGAGGCAGTGCCAAAGGCTTCAACATGGCCCAAGGGGTCGATTTTCTTTCTGGATCTGGCAACAACCATTGTTAGGCTTCTCTCCATACAGATCTCCATGTTTGTTGGCCCTATACCTCCTGAGGCCAACTGCTGTTATTTTGCTGCTTTCCTTCTTCCTCTCCTGAAAATCACATTTGATCAATTCGTGGCCATTCTTCACCTTCCGTCACCCAAATCAAAACACAGGTCCCAAGAACTGGCTGGACAGCCTTGTGTTGTCCTGGTTTCCCAGAAGACAGCTTAGGCAAAATCCCACATTTCTTATTCTGTGCTTTGAATGAGTGAGGCTGCTCAGCAAGCCCTTCTCAAACGCGACCTCCACTTGTGACACGCATTTATTTAAAAAAACTGATAACTACATTTTTTTTTAAAAGAAAAAATGAAGAAACAAAAAAACCCCAAAAAACAACTACCAACCATTTGCTGTCAAATAACTGAGACTCAGAAACCACACTCAAAAATGCTAAGAGGTGCCAAGCCCTGCCCTATTCAAAGGGTAAAGAAAAACAAATACTAAGTTTTGTTTTCCATATGGGATGAAACAGTTCCCTTTGAGCATTTTGCCTTGGATTTGATACTTACGAAATTAAGAGTTTCTGCTTGCCTGGATTTAGTGGATGAGGTCTATTATTATTCTGAATGAAACCAGGAAATAATTGTTCTGAGTAAAAGCACTTTCTTCTTCCCTTACCGTGAGGCTCTTCCTGCTTCAAGAGGAACAAACACGAAATGAAATGAAAATAGATGTTTTTGTCTGCATGAGAAGACCGTGTGTAAGAGGGGAAAAATTACCACGTACAAAGGCAACCCATAATAGGACAACGATCACGACTTTCCAGATAGGAGGGCCTTTAAAGATATCCATTAGACGTGGACCTGACTGTATTTTTGGGTGGTCTATTTTAATTAACTGTCTTCATATCTTGAAGGTTCTGTAACTAATTGGCAAAATAATTAGTGAAGTGACTTCACCGGGAAAAGAAGTAGTCCTGTATGCCCACAGCAGTTCTTGCACATGTGCAGTACTGAGAGAGTGGCCAATTCACCAGTAGTTTCATGTGTTCCTCAGAGGGATCCAGTCACGCTGCCCTTGGCTGCTGTGCGAATGGCCAATAAGTCACAATTGTTAACAAAAATATGAACACGCACACATTGGCACATTCTGCATACTTCAGCTGTCTTATTTTAGCCAAGAGGAGATTTGATCATTTGAAATGGTCTGTTCTGCATAATACGTTCTGTTTTGAAAGGGGGCTTGTTAGTTAGAAGTGCAGTGGCTACTCAGGAGATGGGCACCATTACCACATCACAGATCTGCCACAAGCTAGATGGAAACATGCTTGGCAGCAGACCCAGAAAAAGCTGAAAGAGAAATGCAATGCTGTAACCAGTTGCAGCTGGCTTGGTTAAGACTGCATTAAATGAACTGAAACTTTGGAACCCCCTTCTCATGGGCCGTAGGGCAAGCTGGTTTTCAAAGTAGCTGGGTGCGCAGGAAAAGAAGGCTGCACCCGAGCAGATGATCATGGGAATCTGAAGGCAGGATGCTATAGATAAAAGCATACTAGAGCCAGAGCCACTGTCACACAGTTTAGCACTGAATCATATTGAACAAGTTAAGCAAAATCTGTCTCTCTTTGGAGAACTATGCCAAGCACTGCCCACTTCTGAGCAGTTCAACTCACTTTCCTAGAATCACTTTCTACAAGTTGTCAGTTATCTGTCTCTTGCTATCACACTTCAGAGAGCAGGCACCAAAAGTGTGCAAAGACAGAGGGCATACACCAAGTACCGTGTACCCCAGAGACATACTTCTGATTGTGAAGAATCAAAACACAATGCACACTGGATGAACAGAAACTCCCATTAGTTTTTAAAATCAACCTGCTACTCTGTCACAAGTATGTTCCTACCATCTATGACACTGCCACAAAGTCTGGATTTGTCAGCGGGAGATATCTCTCATTATCTCCATGTATCTATGTGAGTTCATACACGTACACAAGTAAAAGAGTACCTGGTTGAATTTCACCCCAGACTTGTATCAGAAAAGGAATAAAATTAAAAGGTTGCTTTTCAAAACAAAGAGAACTAGATTTTTCAAGGGTTAGTGAGTAGCTAACACTGCATTCTGCAGGCGTGATGATCGCAGCGTGGCATCTACCTCTAGCGCCACTTTCAGCAATCACATTTCACAGTAATACTGAGATGGAAATGAACAACAGGACTGAGTGCCTGGTGGAGGAAGCCCTGCATAGTGAATTAAGTGCCACTCTACATTATTCCACCCTGTTGGGAAGCCAATAAGGGTCAGGCACTCCCATCATCGGGAAAGTGAAGGGGTTACCTGAACATCCTGGATGGGCAGAGCTCATAACTCAGACCAAAACTGAAACCAAATGAAACAATCGTAAGCATCAATAATGGAATAAAGCAGGGGGGAAAAAAAAAGTTCTGTATAAGTCATTTCATGTAGAAGTATACTTCCTCTGCAACTATACTGGCAATAAAAACTGCAGTTCCATCACAGGACCAGAAAATGCTGCCAGGGTCTTGAAATATTTAGACTTTAAAGAAAGACTGAAGTGTAGCACTACTATTAAGAGATAGGAGCATGTCGTACAGAGAGCCTGAGACAGCTAGGATCACTCAGCCTGGAGGGAACAGCTTGGTGGGATCTTTTCATGTGTATACAACCTGAGGGTGGGGAACAGAGAAGATAAAGCCAGGCTCTTCTCAGAGGTGCCCTGTGGAGAAGCGGCAAAGGTACAGATTGGAACACAGTAAATCCCATTTAAACAATATAAAACCCCACACTTTTTTACTGTGCTGCAGTGGTCTTGTACTCACACAGGTTGCTCCACAGATAGCTTATGGAATCTTCATCCCTGGAGAAATTCAAAAGCCTCCTGTACAGAGAATCACAGAGTCCTGAGATGGAAGGGACCACAAGGATCTTCAAGTCCAACTCCTGGTTCCACAGCGGACCACCAAAATTCAAACCCTAAGTCTGAGAGCACTGTCCCAAATGCTCCCTGAACACCGGCAGCATGGGGCTGTGACCACTGCCTTGGGAAGCCTGACCATCCTCGCAGTGAAGAATCTTTTCCCCAACCTGACTGTACCCTGATGTAGCTCCACGCCATTCCCTTGGATCCTGCTGCTGTCACCAGAGCAGAGCTCAGTGCTGTCCCTCTGCTCCATGTGAGGAGCTGCATGCTGCCATGAAACCCGTCCTCAGCCTCTGCTCTTGGCTGAACAAACCAAGAGACCTCAGCTGCTCCTCATACAACTTGCCCTCCACACCCTTCAGTGTATTCATAGTCCTCTCTAATAGCTTTATGTCCTTCTTATATTGTGGTGCCCAAAACTGCATACAGGTTAAGCTGCACTAGTGGAAAGCAGAAGGAGACATGGTCTTTAACAGCCCACTGATCCTGCCCTGAGCACCAAAGTTGAATTAGATAATCACCAGAGGTCTCTTCCTACCTCAAGCATCCTGTGTTTCCTCTCAAAAATAACAGTCCAGAGGTTCTGCTGCTGTGAATGTGCAAGAAAATTGATAGCTTGTAATTGTACTCTTAACTCCTAGCTTTCCTTTAAACATTGTGGTATTTAGGACTGTGAAAAAAGCCTTCATAAGGTGAACAGAAGATTATCTATAATGGGAAGTTAGAGGGTTTTCTGCAGATGGAAGCAAACAACTGTAAGAAGGTGTGAATTGTTCTAATTAACTCCATGGGCACATAGCTGGAAAACTATACAGTGGCAATTTAAATGCCAACATTTCATTGTCAAGCACTTCAACAGAAATCCTTAGGGTCTGTACATTTCACAGTCCCCTAAGGCCTAGCACATTTTCCAGGGTGACAACAGTGCCACAGAAATCAAAATCAAAACCTTGAGGTCTCCTTTCTACAGTGCAGGTACAGTGATCTCAGGAACAACACCGGTTAAGGTAATAATAGGAAGTCTGGCAGCATACTAGGTGAGGCCAAGGGAAAAAAATCATTAGCAACTTAAGGAGAAAGGGAAACTGTAGCCAGATTCACTCTAATTTCAGGTCTGTTTCATTAAAACTCTGGATGCCTTAACTAACCTAGAGATTACCCAAAATTCAGACCTAGTTGCAATAAATGGATGCAGAAGTTCAGCTTGCTGCAGAGCAGAGGAGGCCACAATCACAGCACAAATACTACCAGAAATACAACATATGAAATGGGAACATTTGTAGGTTGGACAGTCACATATGCAGGATTACCTTAAAAAGGGAGATTAGGCATGAAGAAATGCATGGGAACTGCAGAATCATGGCCTGAACCTCTGATTGATCACCTGAGATGAACACTGACTCAGCCACGAGAGCACAGGTGAAGGCAATTCACCTGTGCTGCAGGAATGGGTGGAGCCCGGCTGCACTTCTCCTAGACCCATTTAAGAGCTGATTGCCAGCGGGGAGGGATCTCTTCAGGAGATCCATTCTGGGGGAGTTTTGTAAGTGAGCCCAGGATATTGGTAAGCATCCTGTCTTTTCTGCTTTGGTATAATAACTGCGTAGCCAAGCTCTCTAGCATCATAACTATAACATCTATACATTCATCGACTGGACAAGAAACATGCAAGCTGCTTCATTCTAAAGAATGTGATACCTATGCAACCTAACGAGCTTAATTATTTAACTCATTAAATTAAAACTCCGAACATTCAGGAGGTATTTTCAACTACAGTCACAGATGAAAGTAAAAAAAGCAGTCGCAGCTGTATACAAGGTAAGTTAAACACCAAAGTTTCACAGAGCTGGAAGATATTTCTCTTTACCCTGCTCAGATCCCAGCATTCTCACAAACTACCAGAAAAAGAGATTAGCCCACTAGATCCCCTAATTCTGCTTACAAGGTGCCCACTTAGATGCTGGTCCCACTGCGTTGGAGAACGCGCACAGATGTGGCCGTGAGAGCAGGCAGATTTGTCCTTTTAGTTATTAAAGCTACTGTAGAATTGCCACTTTAGAGAGAAGTAGAAGGAGGGTGTGAGCATGAAGAGAACAGGAAAAAGCATTCTGTAGATATAAACATATATGAATGGCTGTTACACGTTTTAATATTATGCCACTAACTGCATTAGCAGTAAAAATACAACTGATAACATTCTTACACAGTTCCCAAATTTATTATTATTTTTTTTTTTTACTGATCTATACAACTGATATAATACTAGCTTTTCAGCATTTCTGAAGAGGGAGCAGAGGCTATCTATCATCTTACAGGTCCCTGAAGAGCACAGAGACAGTGTGACAGGAGATGCTCTGATGCCTTTTAGAAATGGAACTTGTGGACAAAAGCTATATTTACTTTATTTCATTAAAATAAATACTAGTGGTAAAATTAGGTCTTGCACCAGTGGATGGAATTCAGAGTCAGGACTATTTGTGGACTACAAGACCCAAAAATCTATGTCTTCCAATTCCAGATGTCTATCTATTTAATCCACATGAGATTCATTTATCACAATCAAAATAACAATTTGGAAAGTCATAGTAAATTTTCACGAAACGATGGAATTAAAAATATATATATTTCATTTCAGATTGCTAATGAGTACGTCAAATCAACGTGAGGCAAGCAACATCGCTTTGTGGACAGTTCTACATTTGAAAGCATTTCCTTGGAGTTGTTTGCCTTCAAAAGGGAGCATCAAGGAGTGTTTATTGGCTCAAGACTTGGCCCGGGAGAAAATGAAAGTATTGCATCTTGTGAAGGCAAGACAGCTGGCCTCTCCCTGCTACCTCTCATCTCCTGACTTAAATTTGCAGTTTTGGAAGACAGGAACAAAGGAGTTCCAGATGAAATACCAAAGCCAGAAGCTGTCACTCCAAAAGAACAGGCTTACTCACTTTGGACTATAAGTAAGAGTTTGTACTGTCATTGTATTTGTCAAGTGAACAACAGAAGTTCCAACAACCCATCGCTACTGCAGATCAGCACCTAGCACCAAGACATCGCTGGATCCAGGAGTGGTGAGGCACTTTGCTTTGCTCTGTTTAGACATCTGGCTGGCTGGCCCTCTTTCCCCATTTTCTATCATTTTTTTCCCTCTTCTTTTACTCTTTGAAGTAGCCATTGCCTAATATTGTCTTACCTGTAATGCTTATTAATCATAATTAGCAAATTAGCCAATTTTACTTCCAAGTACAGTACTAGCTGTTGTAAAGAAAGCTGTCAGAAATCTGATTGTGCATTATTCCTCCAAGTCTTGGGTGTCTCCACTGTGGTAGTGATCCCTGCTGACTAGGGGAGGTGCGACTTAGGAGACAGAAAAAGATTCACCACCCTCACACTCTACTGTGTGTGACCAGACTATTATCTATAGATTCAACTGTTTCACTGCTGCACGTTGGCAATATAAGTGAAGGAGAGCAGAAGTTTCTTTCTTTCTTTCTTTCTTGAGAAAACAATGAAATGTTGTTATACTACATGCAGATAGGCGTGGAGAAAAAGATACTCCCCAAGCCCATGGTGTTGGAGTCTTTGACAATATTCATAAATTACTGAAAAAGAAATAGTGAATGTCACCTGGATTTCGTGAAGGCAGGTTTGATTTACAGAATGAGTCAGTGAGGTAGTGGAAAACTATTAAAACACATTAAAGATTGGCTAAGGGTCAGGAACACCAGCATAAGATCAAGTATTTAATTTATCTAGAGATTTGGACTGAACTACATCGTCTGGCTTACAGATGGACTGTTTTCTGTCAAAAGAAACCAGTCATTTAAAGCAAGGGATAAAAATGCCCTTTTAAAGCAACTGTTTGAAAAGAATATTTTCATTTCTTCTCCCTACACTTTGCTAAGTCAAAAAAGGTAACTTATTTAATTCATTGTTGCTCTTCTTAAGGGAAAAGGCCGAAACTACTGAATTGTTTTGAATGTGTTTTTGCATTGGTTGCAGCTTTGATTCTATTGTAATTTTGGGGCAAACTGTGTTTGATGTGGGCAATATTTCAATATTTATTTGAATTGTTGAGCAAAAGTGAACTTACACGGATTGTAGTAGCAATCCAAAATAGTCTATACATCTGCAATTAACTTTGTATGCTTACTAAACTACAAAACACTTTAGGAAGGAAGGAGAGTAGTTTGCCAAGTCTATCCAATACTTTTGAACTATAGGAAATCGCTTTATTTCCTTCTCAAATTATTAACAGTTCACCACAGATTATCAGGGAGTTATCATTACTTCTGCTGGACCGCTGAGTCCCTTCTGACAGCCGTGGAAATTTCTTTTCCTTGGTTACCAGACTTAAAAGCTGCTAACTACTTATTCTACAAATCGTGCTAACTATTTATCCTGCCTGTGATACTGCTGCTGATCAGGATTACATCACCTTTATCTCAGGCTCTTACTCCCTCCCTAAGTGCCCCAATCAGCGCATTGCTTTCACTCATCTTTTAATTAGTCTTTCCTAATTATTTCATACTCTTCAAGGATTCTGTATACTCAGTGCCCTACCAAGTGTGCTCTTCCTCTAAAATTCCTCATCTTGCAATTTCCTAATAAACTGACTATTTAGAGAATTGGATTGCACTAAGAAGGAAAGCACTAGGCTGAAGGGCTGCTACCGTGTGGACTGACAGACTGAACCGTGGACTAACCATACCTAAAAATCCTCCTTAGTATCTTCAGCATGAAAAAACAGCAGAAATATGCAGAAATTTCAGTGTACTAAAGAAATATTTTTGACAGCTACAATAGCAAGCGATACTATTCAAATTAGAAGGTCATATACTTATGAAGTTGCAAGAAGAACTGCTCTTACATGCTGTAGAATCATGAGCTGAAAATATTAAGGGAGAAGAAAACCTTGTTAGTATTTGATTAGTAAATGAATTGCAAGTCATCAGAGTGTGGAGTTAAAAACCGTGATTAATCGAGGGAGGTATTTCCAATATACATAAAGAAGATTTCATGCCATGGAAGAAAGTAATTTGTAAGATCTTCTGCAAAGTAGCACATATAGTTCTGACTGCACATATTTGCATAAATTAATTTCCCTAAACAGGGGCAGAAAAAGGCTATGATGGTGGTCAAGGAATGGAATCTCTGTCATATTAACACAAACTAAAAGATGTTGACTGGCTTACTTGTCCAAAAATCAAGACCAGATTAAGGGGGCACAAGGTAGCATATCAAATAAGCCCACAAAAGGGAAGAATTATCACAGCTGAAGGACAGCATTTGGTAGAAGATAAACAGTAGAACTTGCTTTGAGTAAATTCTGGTTGAGGGTGGTCCAGCTCTTACCAAGAGTGAGCTTCTGAAACAGTGTTCTTGTACAAATAGTAAGGACAACAGATTTTAAACAGAGCTTGATAAATAAATGACTGATATTACATGAAGTTGTTACCTATTATAAAAAAGAATTGAACTTGATACATGAGATACCTGTTCTATGTTCCTGTCACTTTTCCCAATTCCTCTTCTGCTTGGGTGCCAAGAAGACTGCACGCAGAAAGCTTCCAAGAGTCTAGGGATACAGCCATTTGCATTGGCGCTCTCTCTTGCAAAGAGGCGGGTACATGACGTTCCACCAAGGTCACCCAGACCAGCCTGCAGGAAAGGCTTCCTTTCCTCATGCTGCTATGCCTGCTTGAGTCACATCTCTCCATAGCCAGTGCACAGCAACAGCTCAGCCCCACACTTGTTCATCAGCCCCCACTAATTCTGGTGACGGTGATACAGCCTGGCATTCTTGGATGTGGGATTTGGATACTGCTTGCTGAATGCTGCTGGCTGTTGGCAGTTGATTTGTTGTATTTTAGTAGATGAGCTGAATTAATTGTCATTTTGTATGCTGTTCACTTCTCTTACTATCCTATTTCAGAGATGAAATAAAACAGATCTCAACTGAAGGCACGCATTTATCCACTTGATCCCACATAGACATTTCCACAGCGTTTTCTGTTACATCCTGTTGGCTTTTACATGGTTTGTTACTGCTCCTTTATGCTACTCTCGGCAGGGATTAAACTTTGTCTGAGCTAGCCATAGCACCTCAGAGATAATTTCTTCCTGTAAGGCTGGAACTAATAGAAAATCTGTGGGTATTCTACTGTTATTTTACATGAATATCACATTTGTAATCAATTTTAAAAAATCCAATAACATTCCTGATGCTACTGTGAAATTTCTGTTCAGGTTCAAGATTTTTTTTTACGAAGCTGAGAAAGTGCATGATAGTGTTGTTCCAAATAAATAGCTTTATATATTTTCAGTTTTCTCTATATGTACTGCTATTACGTATATTATGTAATAATAATCACAGAGCAGTAAGTGTTGCAACTCACAGACCCATCCAGTTATGACTCACATTTCATGAAGCAGAATACCAGGAATCACAAACATGCAAAAAAACATCTCCTCAACACCCATTTTAACACTCCAGGATCTCCTAACCAACTAGGTATTTCACGTCTCTTAGGCTTGAGGTAAAACATGTCACCAAAACCCATCTGTAGGTTTAAAGGCCCTCACTTAAGGTCTTATAGAGAATTAGAATTCTGATGCATCCATCTCTGTACGATGTGAGAACATGATTGCTAGATGCCACATCCTCTGACGTACTGAGCACTGCCGGAGGAGCCCTAGAGTTCTTGTCTGTCATCTGGCTCTACGAATATGCTATGTTATGGCACTGTCAAAAGCCAGCATTGAAGTGCTAAATTTGGTTTACATTTTAGTACTTAAAAGTGTAATTGTTTCTCTTAGTCGTGGTTTACAAAAACCGCTGCATCTGAGAGAAAGCATGGTGGGGATAGCCTGAAGACTCTTGTTCTTATGCTACAATTTTTATTTCTTTTCTGCCATGCGTATTTACCCTTAGCCAACATCTAGTTCTTCACCTCATCTGCCACATCAGAAGCTGTCAAATGACTATTCAAGCATTAAAAAAAAGAAGGGTCTGTTAAGTTGTAAATTAAGTGACAGTCTAGAGCTGAAAATTAGCAGTAACATGCCCAAAACTTTATTGATGGCTAAGGAAAGGTGAATAACCCCCACTACGGCTGGCTGTGTAATTACTGACCTTTAGAACTCAAGAGCTATTAATTTAAGACCAGATACCAGTGAACTAGCAAACGAAATATTTTGCAGCAGGACAGTAAAAGCACATACCGAGTTTGTGCATATATTCAGTGCCACCTTGGAAGATAATGATATTCATCTGCCTTTTCTGTTTTAACTAAGAATATAACCCAGGTTATATCTGGATATAAAATGACCGTCAGCTAGTTCTGAAGACCAGTAGGACTGCATCCACAGATACTAAGGCTTTTCAGTACGTTGCAAGAAATGCACATCTTTCCAAATGGGTTCTTAAATAACTGCTAAAGGCAAGAAAACTGCATTGCCAGTCTCAGCCATTCCGATAAATATATTGTGAACATTTCATCTATACTGTGAGAGACGGAACAGCAAGTAACAGGAAAAGAGCAGGTAGTTATCAGACGTCAGTTCCTTTAAATGTGGGACTCACGTGAACACAAAACCCCACCTCCGTTAACACTGCTGTATTTCATCTGTTATATGGACTTTCTGTCCTTTAACAGTTCACAGAAATAGTTGCTCAAAAAGAATTAACAAAAATAATTCAGCAGCATTTAACTTTTCTTCTTAATAGTAAGCGTTTACTGTGATGGAAACAGTTGTCCGTTGACAAAGCAACTGCATTTTAAGAGCAGTGGTCAAGCGGTGATGTTGACAGTAAGAAAATAACAATAATTAAAAAAACTATGAACTAAAAAAACCAACAACTTAGGAACTAATGAAGAAGAAGGTGTCTGACCTGGTGCAGATGTTCTTCCATGAAGAGCAGTTTCGTTAGGCAGGAGATCTTTTGAGTTGGAAGTGAACGGTGATTGTCTAAATGTGTCTTCAGAAAAGTAAGGGCTATAGGGGAAATAAGACATCTTTTTGTAAACAAAACAGCAGTTAATAGAAAAAGTAATCACTATTTTTTACTTTAACCTCTCAGTATAACAAATATCATCTTGTTAAAAGCTCTGCTTAATTTACGGAATTCATGCTGAAAGACAACCAGACTGTGAGGTAAGGTGTGGAGAAGAGGCAAGCTTTGGGAAAACTGCATTGTGGAGCAAAAACTGAAGTCTTCCCAGAATGCTTTTCATTACAGTACTTCAACAACACGGATTTGTTTTATCACACCACAATATTGGTAAAGAAAATTAACATTTCAAAAATCTGTATTCTACTCCCGAAACACGTGGAAAATATCTTTAAAACATTTTTAAGTATTTAATAACCTCGGGAGTACAGTAATTGCATTCCAAACAAAGCTTTTCAAATTTTAGGTTGAGATGCTGAACTGTTCTCTATTGACAGAGCATTCCATGTACGAAATTAACTCAATTAATTTGATTCTTAGAGCAGGAAACAATTAACAGAATCTAACTGAACGGCGACTTCCCAAACAATGTAAATCACCAGCTGCTTGATTCTAAAAAGTAGATCATGCTTTGGTTTTAATTAACAGGAGGCAAACAGTTAATTCCAATAGTGAATGGGCATTTCTGTGAAAGTATTTTGTTTGCTGCTCAAATGTTGTGACAGAAACTATGATGCCTTCTACACAATAAAGACATCGGTAAGAATTACATAAAAAAAAAATTAAAAACGGACAAAAAGTCTTTTTGGACAGCTGTTTTCTAATGTATTATATTCCATCTGCATACAAAGGATGAATTTCTTCTAAGCAAAATGGGAATTCATTTTAAATCTGATCTGTACTGTATTGAGATTCCTCAACAGGATGAGAAAGTAGGCTTTTTGTTTGTTTTGATTTTTACTACTATTTATTTTTTGCTGTTCCTTATGTGACAGTGGGGTACTTTGCTATTTCTGCCTAAGTTTGAACATAACTAACATAACAGTCAAACAGGTTGAACTGGATGAAAAGCATGAAGCTGCTCCAAACTTGAGCAGTTCACTGTATGCAGGTACCTGATTAATCACAATAAGGTGAAGAGCTGCTGCCCACATGTGCAAAAGTTCACTTTTCCAAGACTCCCACTCCCCTCAGGGGTGACATAATATAAAACAGACTGATGCTGTATAAAAATATGGTGTAATTCACTGCAACATTCCTTTCGGTGGCTTAATAATGATTTGAAAAAAAAACAAACACCAATAAAAAAAAGTTTTGTAACTGTTGCAACTCTTCAAAATCATGTAATCCACTCAGCTTACCACGCTGCACTGCCTGCTTGTAGATTCACTGTCTCACTGTCCATTGCTAGCTCTAGACAACAGAGCTCATCTATTTCAGTTTAGGATACAAATCCTCAGCAGTTTGCTTTTGAAGACTGCACCGTGCTTGCGTCGTAAGGATCTCCCTTCTTTGCCATCAGCCTCCAGTGAATTACAGAACCATCCTTAGATATGCCTTTTTTTTTTTTTTTTAACCTTTTTCTAGAATGGCCGATGAGTCTCTTCAGTGTCAGCCCATTATTTTTTATTATTTTTATTTCAGTGGGTATGCCCTCCAATTCTCAATCCCGAGTATAAACAGAGAGCTCCTGCAACACAGAAACTACAGTCGTTCTCAGTCTCTTTGTCAAGTCCCTTCTGATGAAGATTAAGCTTTCCTTTTTTTTCCTTCTGGCTGCACTTTTCCAGTTTTCTGTCTACACAGTTCTCTAGATGAAAGAAACTTATCTTGGCATCTCATGCTGGCGTACTCACTTCCAGATCATTGGCTTCTCTGCTTTCTTTCTTCTTATCACAGATGGCAGGTTCTACCATCTCACTCAGCCATTGAACTGTGAGGAATCCTTGCCAGTTTTGGCTGCTTGAGCAAAGTCATATGGAAGTATATGCTTACACAGTCCAGGAATATTCACAGGAAGAACAGCAACAGACGGGAGACAGAAATGTTAATATGGAGTACGATATAAAAAAAAGAAGTGCCTGTGTACCCCCTTCGTGCTGGACTTGGCTGATTTAAGACACTCACCAATGACACAGCTGAATCTCTCCGCTGCCCAATTACTCACAGGTGGATGACACTGACCTCACCTTGACTCTGCAGCTGTCAGCAAACTTCACATAACAATTGTGATTCCAGTGCCTTCCTGTCATGACTCCAGATGTAGGTTGGTGAGCCAAACTGCAACATTACACGTTTTCTTAATGCAGCCTTCGTGCCTCTCTTCTCCACTGGCTGCTCCATCACATTCTATTTTTGAGAGCTGCCGTACTCTTACCAGTAAAGACTTCCAGCTGTTTGCTTGGTTTGGGGTGCTTTGTTTCTTTTTTCGGCAAGGTCTTTTGAGTCCATCTGTTGGAACGTGCAGGATTTAGTAGACTGACTCACTTGTCCTTACAAAGCTCTTCTTATTCATATTGATTGATAGGTAAGATGAGAAAAGCACCCACAAGACTTGAGTTGGGCACTCTGCTTTTCAAACACTGATGGGTAGCCGCCATTATCAGGACTTCTCAGTACAATTCAGTGCAAGTTAGACAACAGCCAACTGTGCTGTTCTCTTACGAGGTAGCAGCCTTCTAAGAAGGAAGGCTGTCTGAACTGTCCTCAACCTTTCCAGTTTGAACTATTTTTGATAGATCCAAAAGTAGCTCTGGATTCTCACACCAGTCCTCCCGGTAATATCACAAGACCCTAAAATCTATTTTCTGCCAACTATTTGTCACCCCTCCCTGCAACAAATATTGGGTGGTTAATGAGTAGTTGGACAATATGTGCATTCAACTGTATAAGCATCTTTCAGGCTTATGCTTTTTAAGAAATAAAGGGAAGTCTGTGCAGTCTCCATATCCCGCAAGTTCCCAAAGTAGCAAATACAAAAAGCGTTCTCAATAACCAGAAGTTAAAAAGCTCAATTTAATTCTCTTTCAACCTGTAACATCAAAAAATCCCTGATGGACATTTACTAGGTGGTTCAGTTTATTAAAAACAGATTTATTACAGTTACCATGCAAGGAGAGGATGGGTCTAGGAATTTAAGATGAGCACATTTCAGAGACCTCTTCTTCTGCAACTGAAATGCTTTTCAAATTCTGTCTAGACAAAGCTGCCTTAGTTATCAAACATTGTACGTGCTGGGGATTTCTGCAGAAGGGGCTGCAGAGACACGGAAGGTCTTACTCTATCTCTGAAGGAATGCTCCAATGCTCCAGTCACAGTCAGTCTGCAAAACCACCCACACTGACCACAGAACTTTCACGGAGGACACACGTGTATGTATTCCTGTCTCAAGGGTTAGATGAGAGCCAAAGTCCATTCCTGTTTACTACTGATCATGGGCTCCTAAGTTTTCACCAATTCTAGTTGCTACTTATCACACAATAGCTTTGAATTTTTCCCTTAGGGCACCTCACTTTGCTGCTCACATATTGAAACAACTTGTCAGTATGTTCCCAGCCAAAATACAGTAAAGGGCATATTTCTTTAACAACACATGCTATAATTGAATCGTATTTTAAATTCCTGCATAATTTCACATATTGTGTTAATGTGACTGTAATTGTGAACAAGTTTCATTAGCATTGTCTCTTACAGTCTTTTAAAAATTCATCTCTGGAAGGCATTTGAGAGGATTCAGAAATATTACGCTGAAATTTTATTCAAGAAGTCCAAGTTTGACAGAAGACTGAATCACAACACCTCTTCTTACATTGGTCCATGTCTTAAAATCCAGTTGTCGTCCTGTTCTTCCCTCAAGCACTGCATGTACTATGCAGTTTCAATTAAGCTTCGGTTTTTGCAGAAAAAAAGCACACACAGAAAACAATTCTTACAACCAAGCGTGAATACTTGACTGTGAGAACAGCCATTTTGGCCCAAAGGCCTTTTGCAGCATGGACACTAAACAATCGTATCTATTGGTGCCATTTCTCACATACAGGTTCCATTACTAAAAGAAATATCTTACACTTGTAATATCAGGTCATATTTGCAAGAGAGAGACATATCCAAGTTTACAAGGCGAAACTCAGCAATGCCATTTACACTACAGATTTATGGATAACAACAGACTGTGCTTACCTGACTGTAGTTCTGATGGTGTTATCTTTATTGTGATTGTGCTCTTTGCTCACCTTTTCTGCAGAGGAATGTACATTTTTTTGTGATTATAAGATAAATCATATTTTCCTTATCAAATTTGATTCAGCAGAACTATTTTAATGCTTTCTGATTACAGAATAATTTAAGGGGAAGTGGTCACAAGATGATTTCAGAATAAGCACAGCTTTTTTTAAAAATATAACTCGTACCAATTTTTTTCACCCTCACATTTCAGTGTCAGTGCCACAAGCTTTCATTAAACAGACCTCAAATCACTTCATGTATGTAACAGCTGAGACTGACCTTCTGCTGGAGAGAAATGGACAGCACAACTTTGGGAGCGCTGTACGCTACAGACAATATCCGTTTATGACAGTAACTACCTATATTTTCCCTTATATTCCAAGGCCTCAATCAACCATTCGTTACTAATCATTTAATTAGCCTTCAAAAAAGAGTTGAACTCTGGCATTTCCAATTCAGTTCAAATAACACGAACCTGATCAGGCTGTCACAGTGCTCTGAAACATGTTATCTATGGGGAGCATTTGGCAAGACTTCTATATTTCACATGCAAGGGTAGAAGGGCTCTACCTCCTATTATGCTTCAGCCTTAGCAATCTCATACTTCCGTAGCACCTTAATGATTATACACAATCTCTTTTTGCTCTTTAAACTCTGCTTTCTATTATTTTCACTACTTTTAGTGAACATTGTGGACATTAGGAAGTATTACTTTTCAGGCAC